GCTGGCGTAGCTCAGTGGATTGAGCACGGGCTGGGAACCAAAGTGTCCCAGGTTCGATTCCCAGCCAGGGTACATGCCTGGGTTGCAGGCCATAACCCCCAGCAACCGCACATTGATGTTTCTCTCTCTCTCTCTCTCTCTCTCTCTCTCTCTCTCTCTCCCCCACTTCCCTCCCCAAAAATAAATAAATAAAATCTTAAAAAAAAAAAAACATTAGGCCCAAATAAAACAACAGATCAAAACTCCAGAACAAATACAACTAAGCAATGAAGAGACAGCCAACCTATTAGATGCACAGTTCAAAACACTGGTAATTAGGATGCTCACAGAATTGGTTGAATATGGTTGCAAATTAGATGAAAAAATGAAGGCTATGCTAAGTGAAATAAAGAAAAATGTACAGGGAACCAATAGTGATGGGAAGGAAACGGGGACTCAAACCAATAGAGTGGACCAGAAGGAAGAAAGAAACAGCCAAACAGAAAAGGAAGAAACAAGAATTCAAAAAATAAATAAATAAATAAGGAGAAGCTTAGGACTTCCAGGACATTTTTAAACGTTCCAACATCCGAATTATAGGGGTACCAGAAGGAGAAGAGGAAGAGTAACAAGTGGAAAACTTATTTGAACAAATAATAAAAGAGAACTTCCCCAATCTGGCAAAGGAAATAGACTTCCAGAAGTCCAGGAAACTCAGAGAATCCCAAAGAAATTGGATCCAAGGAGGAACACACCAAGGCACATCATAATTACATTAGCCAAGATAAAAAGGAAGGAGAGAATCCTAGAAGCAGCAAGAGAAAAGGAGACAGTTACCTACAAAGGAGTTCCCATCAGACTGTCAGCTGATTTCTCAAAAGGGACCTTACAGGAAAGAAGGGACTGGAAAGTATTCCAAGTCATGAAAGGCAAGGACCTACATCCAAGATTGCTGTATCCAGAAAGGCTTTCATTAAGAATGGAAGGGCAGATAAAGTGCTTCTCAGATAAGGTCAAGTTCAAGGAGTTCATCATCACTAAGCCCTTATTATATGAAATGTTAAAGAGACTTATCTAAGAAAAAGATTAAAAACATGTGTAGTAAAAAATAAATAAATAAATAAATAAATAAAATAAATAAATAAAAAATAAATAAAAACAAAAAGGCCTGGCTGGCGTAGCTCAGTGGATTGAGCTCGGGCTGTGAACCAAAGTGTCGCAGGCTCGATTCCCAGTCAGGGCACATGCCAGGTTGCAGGCCATGACCCCCAGCAACCGCACATTGATGTTTCTCTCTCTCTTTCTCTACCTCCCTCCCTTCCCTCTCTAAAAATAAATAAATAAAATCTTTAAAAAAAAAAAAAACATGTATAGTAAAATGACAGCAAACTCACAATTAACAACCACACCTAAAACAAAAACAAACTAAGCAAACAACCAGAATAGGAACAGAACCACAGAAATGAAGATCACATGGAAGGTTAGCAACAGGGGAATGAGAGGGGGGAAAAGGTACAGAGAATAAGTAGCATAGATGGTAGGTAGAAAATAGGGGAAGGGCAAGAATAGTATGGGAAATGTAGAAGCTTAAGAACTTATAAGTATGACACATGGACATGAACTAAAGGGGGGGAATGTGGGTGGGAGAGGGTGTACAGGGTAAAAGAGAATGAATGGGGAAAATGGGACAACTGTAATAGCATAATCAATAAACTATATTTAAAAAAATAAAAATAAAAACAACTGAATTATATACTCTAAAAGATAGATCTTATGTTATATGTATTAATAAAGATGTTATTAAAAAAAATTAAGAATGTAAAGAGACCAAAAAGTTTGAGAACTACTCCAAATATTTCTCATTATTCATTCAACAAATACCTTCTTCTCTCTTTAATAGGTGCTGGCACAGTTCTAAGCTCTAGGAATAAACAGTACTGAACAAAACTGACAAAATTCTCTGCCCTTATTAAGTTTACATTCTATTTTAACCCAGTGATTCTACTGCTGGGATTATATCCTAATAATTCTGAAACACCAATTCAAAAGAACCCATGCATACCAATATTCATAGCAGCTTTATTTACAATAGCCAAGTGCTACAAACAGCCTAAGTGCCCATCAGTAAATGAGTGGATCAAAAAACTTGTGTATTTATACTGGAATACTATGCTGCAAAAAGAAGCTCCTACCTTTCACAACAGTATGGATGGAACTGTAGAGTATTATGCTAAGTGAAATAAGCCAGGCAGTGAAAGACAAATACGTTATGATCTCATTTATAAGTGCAACCTAATGAACAAAACAAACAAACAAGCAAAATAGGATCTGAGGCATGGAAACAAGGAACACACTGACAGTGACCAAAGTGACAGCGGAAAGGATAATGGGGAAAAAGGAGTCTTGTCAAGCAAAATGAATAGAGGACCCATGGGCGTGGACAATGGGGTAAGGATTTACTGTGGAAGTGGACATGGGAGGGGCAGTGGAGAGCAACAGGGAAAAATTGGGACAACTGTAACAGAACAATCATAAAAAAGAAATAATACTGAGTAAAAGTTTACAGTGCATACAAAAGTAGTTTACAAACTAAGAGCTTTTAAATTTAAAAGACTGATGAAGCTCTCTACCATGACACTTCAGGATGGCAAATAAAGATGAGTAAGTTGTTTAACAAAAAAATAGTTGACGTAATGTGAACAAATTTAAAGGAGATGGTTTGTTAAAAAATTGTAACTGCTATAAAACATTTTCAGAAGGGGTAAAGAGTTTCAATTTTAGATAAAGTAGCCTCTAAGAAGGCAAGGTTCAAGATATGAAGGAAAAGAAGGATCTTTACAACTAAACAGAAATGCATTTCTGCATTCTATGCAGAAAGTAAACAAGCTCACAGGACCTGAGGAAGAGCGCACCAAGCATATTAAATACGTAATAAATGAGACAGTCACATTTATGCACATCATGCTCCTCATGTACTTCTACCTCCTATTCCATTTTTGAATCTATAAAACCTCCTGGAAGCATCTTTCCCTGAACTTTAAATCACAGTCAGATTCACTTTTTCTGAAGTAAGTGTTTCATACAAAGTATTTTTAAACCCAAATTTCTATGTAGTTAAGTCTTAATATCTTAACTACATAGCTTGAGATGCTGGATTGCATTAATGGTTCTACTCTTTTTTTTGAATGGCTGACAGTAAATATTTGTTAAATACTGGGAGCAATATTAAGGGGGAATGGAGAAAAGAAGGAGAGAACAGTTTATATTTTAAAAATGAAAAAGGCAGCCCTGGATGGTGTGGCTCAGTGGATTGAGCACAGGCCTGCAAAGCAAAGGGTCGGTGGTTTGATTCCCAATCAGGGCACATTCCTGGGTTACAGGACAGATCCCCAATAGGGGGAATATTAGAGGCAACCACACATTAATGTTTCTCTTCCTCTCTCCCTCCCTTCCCCTCTCTCTAAAAATAAACAAATAAAATATTTAAAATAAAAAGACAACCAAATTCAAAGTTTAAACCTTGAGTGGATTCTGGCACTTAAAAAATGCTATATGAGGTATTTGGGAAGTAACTAAAGAAATGTGGACCCCTCTGATACATGGTAACTCATTCTCTTTTGGTTAGAATTTTAGAGTCATTGATCTATCAGCCAACCCTGTCAGCTATTACTTTAACATATCTTAAGAATCTAACTACTTGCCACTAGCTCAAGTACAACTATTTTCTTACCTAGATTACTGTAATAGTCTCCAATTACTCTCCTAGCTTTGCCCCCAGCAACCTCACAAAATTTTCTATACAGCAGCCAAAACGTAATTCTGACCTTATCACTCTTCTGCTTAAAACCCTTTGATGGTCTCCCAAATCATTTAGAACTAAGGCCAAAGTCTATGATATAGAATCTCTCCACTACCCCCACCCTCCCTGCCAAAACAAAACTATATACACAATACATACCACCATTTATATAAAAAGGAAAACTAAAGGCTCATATAAATTCCTATTTGCAGCACAGATACAAAATATATGCTGGGTTATTTTTTTTTAAGATTTTATTTATTTTAGAGAGATGGGGAAGGGAGGGAGAAAGAAAGGGAGTGAAACATCAATATGTACTTGCCTCTAGCACACCCCATACTGGGGATATGGCCTGCAACCCAGGCATATGCCCTGACTGGGAATCAAACCAGCAATGCTTTGGTTCACAGGCCTGCACTCAATCCACTGAACTACACCACCCAGGATATGCTGGGTTATTCATAGACTACCTCAAGAACATGTGAAACTCTTAAAAGTATCTGCATCTTTGAAAAAGTATAGTACCAAGACTCAGAGATTAGAAGAGACTTTTTCATTTTATACCTTAATGTCCAAAAATTTCTTACAAGTTCATGTATTATATTAAAAAAATACACTCATACATTCATATTCTCACACACACAACAAAAAGGCAGAAATGATTTCTAAGGCAACAACTTTTGAAAGAGGTACATGGGGGCAGCAGGGAGGGGGTCAATTTGTTGCTGTATAATGGAGGAGGTGGATGAGACAATAGGAAGTATGATCACAGAGATAAAATTTAAATCTGAAGCATTTAACCACTGAGAGAATGAGAAAGAGTAGCGAAAAATAAATAAATAAATAAATGAAGACTCTAAATATCAGACAATATGTAAAGACTCAAAACCTATAAAAGACAATTCATGAGGGAAGAAATCAATACACACTGAGAGATATGAGACTATGAGACTGAAGGTATCAATGAAAGAGAGAACAATCACACAGAGGCAGTATAAATGAAGTACAAAGTGTGGACATTCCAATTAACAATAATGGGGGAACTTGGCCCTTTAAAATCTAATTAAAGAGGTAGAATACTGGAACAGAAAAAATAGGGACTGAAAATGTCATTCAAGTATCTAAAGAACTCATATCAAGTGATACTCCAAGCCTAGGGCCTGTAAAAAAACATACTTAAAAGCATTCAGGTGTCAATGCTGGCTGGCTGTCATTCACTTACCTGGAAAAATTTCCTTTTCACTCCTTTCTCCACCATCCAGTTTGTCTTTTTGCTCCAACAGAGGTTCACGTTCAGCTTGGTCAGCTTATAACCTGCTAATGGGGAAATGACATACCACTAGAATATTAATGCTGGACCAAAATACCATTCTAGAACTCAGTCTGAGCCCTAAGGCCTCAGGGCTTTCTGAAGGATGAGGAAGGTGCAATTTCCAGGGATGCACAAGAATGGGGACCTGTGAAAAAGAACAAAGTAATGATCTTTTATCTTACAATTAAAGTACAATTACAGGAACAAAGGAACTAAGATGATTTGAATCTTAAATTTCAAAGCCATATCCATTTAATCCATTTAAGCCTCCACACATCCTAAAATGGGTGGGGGGGGGACCTACTTTCAGATTTTTACTTACATAGGGAAGATGTTCATACCTCACCTAACTAGGTACTACCCCTTCTCTGGCACCACACCCCTGTGTGGATTTTAACTTTGGCCCTTATTCCTGGATGAATTCAACACTCTTATCTATGCCTATCAGAACTAAGCCACAAATATACAATGCACAGTAAGTTGTTTTGACAGTATTCAGGAATTAAAAAACTCAAAACATTTTCCTGGAATCCTAATATTTACTTTGTTTGCATTATTACTTGAGTAAAACTACATATTAGAAATGTCCTATAAATATGTTCATTCAAGAAACATTTTTAAGATTATAGAAACTGACAAAATCTGAATGTGGAATGGATAGTAACGTATCCATGTTAAATTTTCTGAGTTTGAAAAAGAAATGTCTTTGTTCTTAAAAAAGTTCATGTTAAAGTATTTATAAAGGGAGCATGTATGCACCTTAGTCTCAAATGCTTCAGAAAAACAGTACACACATATTTAGAGATAGAAAAAATAAAGTGAAAAGACAAAATGTAAATGATCAGTGAATTTGGGTAAAGGATTTATAGGACTTCTCTGCGCTACTCTAATTTTTCTATAATGTTAAAGTCATACTTAAAAAGCAAAATTCTAAAAAACCTAACTTATTGCTTACAAACACACTATCTACACCACAGGTAGCAAACACAAGGCCCGAATCCAGACATCTACCTTGTTTTATCCAGCCCAGCACCTTGTTTCTTCCTGGCAGCAGTGCTGAGCTCTCGCTTAACTGTTAAGGAGTAGTTACATTTATACAGTCCTAAAATTACATTTGGCCCTTTGAAGGCAACCACGAGGCTGATGTGGCCCCCAGTGAAAATGAGTCTGACACCCCTGATTTACACTGTTTGTTGAAAAGGCTTGGTCACTATTTTGTACTGGGGTATGGCAGAGATCGATGGCTAGGAGTCTTATTTAAAAAGTAATGTACACAGACAGGAACATGAGGTGAGTTGGCTGAAGACCAATTGTAAGAGGATCAAGTTTGATATTCTGGAAATTCAGTGTCAGGTTTCTAAGAAACATACAAGCAGATATGTCATTTGTCAATTATATGTGCAGAGGAGGAGCTCAGAATAGGCGTAGAATCATAATGGGAATTTGTTGGGTGTCAGAATATAGTGCCGCTGAAGACACAGATGAAATGTTACTATGACTACTTACAGAGAATATATACATATGTGAAAAAGATGGTCAAGGACAGAGAGACTCCTAAGAACACCAACAATCAAGGGAGCAAGAAAAAGTTTGACAGAAACACTGGGGCTCCTTGGTTTTGAGTCTTTCAAATACTTCTTGAAAACCATTCAAACTTCAAGAATAAACAGGAAGGAATAATACCAACCAGCCAATCCATAAACTATCTCTTTAGTGAAACTAGTAGAATATATGTTAACTATAAATTATATGTAAGTGTAGCACAAAACACCCAAAATAACAGTTGCTACAGGAACCACAATAGTGTGGTAGGTGCAGCAAGAATGGCTAGAAAGCCCTGGCTGGTGCAGCTCTGTGGACTGAGTACCTGCCTGCAAAACAAAGGGTCACCAGTTCAATTCCCAGTCAGGGTACATGCCTAGGTTTCATGTCAGGTCCCCAGTAGGGAGCAAACAAGGGGCAACCACATGTTTTTGTTTCTCTCCCTCTCCTTTCCCCTCTCTAAAAATAAATAAAGTCTTTTAAAAAATGGCTAGAAAATGATGAAAAGTCCTGAACAGTTAACAGTTCTCAGAAATAACTAACAAATACTCATTCTCAGAATGAGGCATTCACCCTGGGTGACTACTTGCAGCCAACTTCCAGTAATAAAACTAGGGACAAAATTACCACCCAAATTCCACATACTGGGCTGGCCAAAAAGTCCACATGGTTCTTCCCATAAAATAAAAGACACATTTTTCATTTTTACCAATAACTTTATTTGGATATTTTGAGAATGTCAGCTATTTCCTGCATGTTTTAACATTAATTGTTCTCAATGTCTTGATTTGATCACTATCAACTTCAACTGGTCTACCCGATCGTGGGGCATTGTCCTGCAAGAAATCTCCACCATGACACTGCAAATCACTTCTGACATGTTCAATCTGTCACAGCACCTTCTCTATACGCTGCACAAACCTTTTTGTGTTTCAGCTGGGTTTTTACCTTCTCGAATAAAGCATAACATGTCAAAAATGTTGTGTATTTTCTTCCATCTTCAATATTAAAATGGCTACACAAAAATTCACCAATTTTGTTTTTTTTTAATGCACACTGATAGTACAGCTGTCACAACACAATCTAACAAAATTGTTTAAGATGAAATGAAAGACAACTAAGCACTACTAGAATCATCTTACAGAAAAAAACAAATGAACTTTTTGGCCAATCTCTGCCAAAGACAGGCTCAAATAGGAGACCTGAACAAGAAGTTACAAAGAAGCCTAGAAAGTACTGGAAATGCTGAGGGAGACTCTAAGGACTTCAAAGTTCAAAAATCTGCAGATGATATTCCCTTATATTTGAGTAGGCCTCACCCTAAGAGGTAATTGATAAAAGCAAAAACTAGATTAAACAGAAAAGAACTGAAGAGGGAAGCAAAAAGTAGACTTAAAAAATATAGTAAGTCCTTACTCAACATCATCAATAGGTTCTGCAACTTAAAGCAAAATAATGTGTAATGAAACCAATTTTACCAGTGGCTAGTCGATATAAACAAGAGTTCAGTTCCTATGGAATCTTATCAACACGTTAACAAAAAAAATAAATAAAGGAAACGACATTACTCCAGGACCTACTGTACTTAGGAACAGGGCAACCCCAGATTTAGCAGCTTCTAAATACATCACTCTAAAAGCCAAGTTCTACAAAGAATTATAGGAAACAGAGATAGAGAAGTGGGCCTCAACCAGGTCAGGGTGACTGAGCAAGAGAAGATGCACAAGCTCCTTGCTTTAAAACTAGAAGGCCCTAGCTGGGTGGTTCAGTTGGTTGGAGCATCCTCACGTGCACCAAAAGATTGCAGGTTCAATTCCTGGTGAGGGCACATACCTGGGTTACCGGTTTGATCCCTAGACATGGCATGTGGGAAGCAGCCAATCAATGTTTCTCACATTGATATCTGTCTGTCTCTCTCTCCAAAACCAACAAACATATCCTCGGTTGAGTATTAAAAATAAATAAAACTTCCGGCAAGATGGAGGCATAGGTGGAGGCACCGTACCTCCACGCACAACCAAGATTAGAACAACAATTTAGAGGCAGAATAACACTCAGAACTGACAAAGCATTTATCTGAATGGAAGTCAGACAGCCAAGAAGTTGAAGTAGACCCATTCATCCAGACCGGTAAGAGGGATGGAGACGAGCGTGCAGGTCACAGCGCGCGGAGTTCGGGGAGAGCTGGGCGCCTAGGCCAACCAGGAGCGAGTAAGCCATCTGGGGCACACAGTGGGTGGACCCTGAGTATGCAAGTGGCAACTGGCGGACCCAGTGAGGCTGCGATTGTGGAGCAGGGCAGAGCGCGCAGCCCAGGATCCCAGGGAAGGGACTGAGATCCCAGGAGAGTGGAGCTGCCGCCATTGTTCCCTCCTGCCCCCGCCCCCACATACAACGTCACAACCTAGCGACAGGGGTGCCCAGCCCTGGTGAACACCTAAGGCTCCGCCCCTCACCATAACAAGAGTGACCAGATCGGAAAAAAGAGAGCAATGGCTCAAATAGAAAAACAAATCAGTGCCCCAGAACTCATCCTTCTGAGCGACCAAGAAATAGCTAACCTATCAAATGCACAGTTCAAAACACTGGTGATCAGGAAGCTCACAGAATTGGTTGATTTTGGGCACAAATTAGATGAAAAAATGCAGGTTACCATAAAAGAGATGAAGGAAGATGCATGGAGAACCAACAGTGATGAGAAGGAAACTGGGACTCAAAACAACAGAGTGGACCAGAAGGAAGAAAAAAGAAACCAAACAGGAAATAATGAAGAAATAAGAATTCAAAAAAAAAAAAGGGGGAGAAGCTTAGGAACCTCCAGGACATCTCTAAATGTTCCAACATCCGAATTATAGGGGTACCAGAAGGGGAAGAGGTAGAGCAACAGATTGAAAACGTATTTGAACAAATAATAAAGGAGAACTTCCCCATTCTGGCAAAGGAAATAGACTTCCAGGAAGTCCAGGAAGCTCAGAGAGCCCCCAAAGAAGTTGGACCCAAGAAGAAACACACCAAGGCACATCATAATTACATTAGCCAAGGTAAAAATGAAGGAGAGAATCCTAGAAGCAGCAAGAGATAAAGGGACAGTAACCTACAAAGGAGTTCCCATCAGACTGTCAGCTGATTTCTCAAAAGAGACCTTGCAGGCAAGAAGGGGCTGGAAAGAAATATTTCAAGTCATGAAAGACAAGGACCTATATCCCAGATTACTCTATCCAGCAAAGCTTTCATTTAGAATGGAAGGGCAGATAAAGTGCTTCTCAGATAAGGTCAAGTTAAAAGAGTTCATCATCACCAAGCCCTTATTTTATGAAACGTTAAAGGGACTTATCTAAGAAAAGAAGATAAAGAAAAAACATGTATAGTAAAAGGACAACAAACTCACAATTATTAACAACCACACCTAAAGCAAAACCAAAAGAAACTAAGCAAACAACTAGAACAGGAACAGAACCACAGAAATGGAGATCACATGGAGGGTTAGCAACAGGGGAGTGGGAGGAGGAAAGAGGGGGAAAAGGTACAGAGAGTAAGTAGCATAGATTGTAGGTTGAAAACAGATAGGGAGAGGGTAAGTATAGTATGGGAAATGTAGAAGCT